CTGGTTGTTTCGTTGGTTGTTTCCCTACCGGCTCACAGAACATTGAATGAAAACGTTTTTCCTTGAGGGTGCTCGTTCGAGGAAGTTAACTTCACGCATGAGCCCCGCTTTTGGTCGTCAGCTTATTTGAGTCAAGTAGTCTGTCCAACAAAATGATTCTGAGGTCGGTTTGAAGTCAAGTATGATGCCTATCATTTGCGGAACAATGAATCGCTGTTGTGTTCACCTCGAAGTCAATTAGGAGCAAATCTGCAAATAGGAGTGCGTTTAAACACCGATAGAAGTTGATGTACGATTGTAAGCGCTGCGTGCAGACATACAGGTGTATTATATCTGTCGATGATAATTCATCATATCATCACGGCCGCGTATTATCCTTCAGAACAAATGGGGGCTGTATGAACGTCATACTATGTCATAGTAACTATGACGATGTTTGAGATCTTGCCTCAGACCCAAACACGCTCGATCCGTGATGTACGGATCTGTTGATAGTTAATTTGCGTTGGGTGTTGAGCAACCATATGGTTGAACCATTTTCTTGCAGGGTGAGAGTAGCGGAGAGCACAAGACGAGCCACGATCATCGTGGCACGATGATATTAACGCAAGCAGTGTCTCAGTCGCCGAGTCGGTTTGATTCGATTTGATCCTCGCGTATGTCTTCGGGAGCCAATTAAAGTGCTCACCTCTCCGAGTCCGAGAAGTCGGAAAAGCAGGCTTCCCGGGCTCGAAAATTTTTTGTGCATTCGAGTGCTCCTACTCTCCGAGTGCCGAGTCGGAGTACTCGAAGCGACACTCGGACTTGTAAATTCTGTCTTGAGATACTTCTTCTCCGAGCTCCAAGTAGCACATTTTTTCAGGGTAACGGCGCACCCTTAGAACATGCTCCGAGGCAGGGTTCCCGATTTCCACCATTTAAACGAACTATAAACAAGTGCCTTCATACTCCACTTCCGTCAGTGAGTGCAACATAATCTCAGGCCGAGGTCCTCGGCGTGGGCATGCGGCTCCCCAATTCCGTAAAGGATTCGGGCCCCGAATCCTTTACGGATTTCGTAGTCGTTATTGGCCAAGTAAGATGGTCCACATCCGACTTTTACTCCATGATCAACATCGAAAATTTTACATACAGCCTATACAGTACTGTCATTGAAGTGTACCTCGCTTCGCTTGCAGATACGTTTCGGCGACTCGTGATCTCTTTTATAGGAATCGTGACCGATACGAAGAGTATGCTGAGGGGCAAATTGCTATTTGGTGACCGCTTATGCATAGTTGACAACTATTAGTTGTTCTCTTCTCTTCATATAACACTGTTCACTGAACAGTGTTCAGTAATCAATCATCAGAATCCCTGCGTAAGTCACGACTCGTGACCAAGTCCTGATCATCACTCTTGCTGGTGGCTATGACACCCTTCTTTCATTCTTCTCCCTTTTCGTGAGTGCCTCGCTCTAGTCGCTTTAATGGATTGTTATAATGCCCAAGCCCTAGACTCGGCTGTCCTCAGTGAGGACTCCTCAGCCAGCTATGGTGCTCACGCGATTGTCATGGTATGTTGCCGGAGCTCCAAAACGATGTAGCTCAATTTCTCGGCACCCGAGAACCAGGCTTGGTCGAACGTGATTGTGCACGTCTGAGAGCGGAGCAACTGCCATCACTGATATATTCAATCGAAAGGGCCGTAGATGAAATCTCGAAAAAAGTAGCCAGAGCCCGCTGCATCGACAGTTCTGAAAAGACATCGATCAAACCCATCAGGAACGGCTACAGTGTTTTCTACGACTACGACGACGTCAACGACAGACTGTCTGTCTTCGACTGCGAATACCATAGAATCTCCGTGTACAAGCTTGACAATCCCGAGTTCTGCCACAAAATTGACGTTGAATCCTACGACGAATATACAATGAGCAGCAAGTGCCGCTGTCTCGATGGACTTGTCTTTTTCGCCTATGTCAAGACTGAACGCACCACTGCGCTGCGCTGTAGTGACCTGAGGGACACTGCGAAACCGACTGAGGTGCGATTACTTTCGACGTACGAAGGTCGATTTAATAGATGTCGACTCAGAGATTTTATTGTGAGTCGAGTTCCTGGCCAGAGAGGACACTATACTTCCGCATACGTGTATGCTGATGGAGTCATCCGCGTAGCGTTAGAGCTGAACGGTCCTCCAATTCAATCCGCACCCTACCGAGAGGTTGTTAACTCTATCCCCTGTGGACGCAACTACATCCGAGATATCAGGGTGATTACTTCCGACACGGTTTTAGTCATCGGCTCCAGCCATCCTGATTCAGGATTCCTGAAGGCTCCTGCTTTCTACATATTTCCCAGTTTAGGGCTGACCTGTGGCAAAGTTGCCACGAACTCACAGCCTTTCCAGTACGCGGTCTTTATGAAGCGGCAGCGCGTCCCGATGGGCTTATCTATATGGCCTATTCAATTCGTGGTGGAAGCGGAGGAATTCTGCTGAGGACGTACGAGTGCGTGTGATCGTAACATCGCTTTGCTGTACTCGACGTGGTAAGAAAATCGAGATTTGATTGATTTCGTTATTTCATTTTTTGTCGTCTACATGTGATTTGATGACGCTCAATGAGTTATCATTATATCGTGCCCTGTTAGGAAGGCTGCTTTCCGAAAGTATTAAGTGTTGCGTTGAGTGCGGCATTACCTTACCGATAGCAGCGGAGGGAGTTTGTTACTGCCGGCCTCTGACATCAAGTAAGACTGATTCTAATACCCGCGATTGTTCACCGCTTGAAGGAACGTGCTAGAGTGGTGGGTTCGATCTCCACTTGGTAGTGGGAGGAATCCTCGCGGAAATGGCTTTGTCGCCATAACTTCTCATGGCCAAGGAGCTATGAGACCTATCACATACCATTGGAAACCTTTTTCGAGGTCTACATGAAATGTGTATTCAACGGTTTCATTCACTAGCCCTATAACTTAGGAGGCCTAAAATGCGTAAGTGTAAGAGGGAGGAGCGCCTCCTCATAAGTTAGGAGGCAGAGGGGTTCCTCAAAGTAAGGAGGCTAAGGAACAGTTTGCAAGATACTCACGGAAGAAGGCTGAGGAGCTGCGCCTGATAATACTCAGGAGCCGCTCCTCAAGGTCCTTAAGGAAATAGCCTTAGGAGCGTAAGCTTGGTCAGGCTAAGCTTACCCCTGGCTCACGAGGTCGAGACCGAGAATTTCGGCGTGCAGCGCATGCTTCGCGCACCCTTCATGTAATTCGCCGGTGCGACTGGTCGCCGATGGGCTATCGGCGACTGCGCGCCGCCCGCGCGATCTCCCATCTCCACAGTATCTTCCGGCGCTTGGAACCTGGATGATTACCTCACTTAGCGAGGCTCGCTGAAAGGCCTAAGTCTCTGCGACCGTAGTCTGTGAGGGATTAAATGACTACGAAATTTTCGTAGTCATTATTGGCATAGTCATACAGAAGTGCGAACATGCCCTGTTAGTATTTCAGACGCAACATTCGCTAGAAAGACGGTCTCTGTGCCACCAATAACAGTATTGCTTTTTGCAAAGGAGTCCAGACCTCCCAAGACCGCGACCAAATATCACGAGATGAATCGAAAGCGGATAATCAATATTCGATAATATTACGACGTTAAGACTGCCATTATAAGGGGCAACGACTCTCGGCGACTAATAATGGATTGTACACCGGCCTAGTAGGAATCACTCGTCGTATAGATCGGCGACTGTAAGCCCTGAAATCCATTAGCGCCATCACGCCCCATGAAATCTCACAACAAAGAATAATGATTCGACACAAGCTCTCTAGACACTAGACAGTGATATATCCTTTATGCGACGAAATCCAATCAAACCTAAATAATAGGATTCCTCTCTTCCTCAATAGTGAGCTTA